CCCCAAAACCCCAAAACCCCAAAACCCCAAAAATAGTTTAAAAATTTAAAAATTCAAATGAACCCCCTTCCAAGTACCCCTCTTCTAACCCCTAGTCGAACCCAGCTCCAAAAGCGTCATGAACTGTATCCTCGACCACGAACTCACCAGGTAACCTCCTCCATTTCCCCTTAGACTCGCCCAAGCTCCCAGCCAAGCCCAGTCCAAACCCACTTGCAACTTCACTACAGACTTGTGCAGCCCAGCCCTGGCTGTTCACGACCGGCCAAAGACTACTCACTTCGAGTACGAGAAGGTCAGTGTGCTGGGCAAGAAGGAGATTGATGAACTTAGGGGTAAGATAGCTAATATGGAAGAACGTATCCAGAAAAGAAGAGAAAAAGGTAGTCTCCTCATTTTGCTTATAGAGGGTAATTTATTACATAGATCATGGTAGAATCAAAGAAGATTTTTATAACACTTTTAAGAAAACTAAACCTAAGAGAAAGAATTCCCGTAAGAACTCTATTCTTTGGCATTGTAGCCTTTGAAGGTTATTGGATATCAGAATATAAAATAGTGAGAAAGGAATATACTTTTTATGAAGGTTCATTTTGTAAAATTCTTTATGGACATCAATTTCATAAATCTTAGAACTCTAGTATCTTTTGTACGAAGATTATGTAATGGAAGCTAAAAAATTTAAGATAAAAAGTACTAGCTAATTGGAATTTCGAAAATATAAGCCTTACTTCTGTATTAATTATCAAATATAGCTTTCATAAAATCTAAGAAGAACAGTACGATATTGGATAACTCTAGCTTCTAAAGCCCCTAAGATGAAGAAATGAACTACAGTTAGGAACTTGCAGTATAATATTCATAACAAAGAGAATAAGAGCTACAACAGTAAGCAAAGGTTTTAAAAGATGCCTAGCATTTAATATTTTGATACTAAACTTTAAATTTTATCATTTTATGAAACCAGAATTTTACTTGAGGTTTAAATTGTACCCTTACAGTACCAAACAGAGAAAATACTCATCCAAATGAATCTGAATCTGAACAAATCTTCCTTCTAAAAGGTATGTCTTGTACTAAAATTAAGCTGAGAATAAGAAATTGCGTTCACAAATATCTCAGCTAAGTAAGCAAAGAGATATGTACAAGAGCAAGTACAAGAAGGTGTCAAGCAAGTATTATAAGCTAAGTGCGCTTTATGATAAGTATTAAAGAAAGAATTTGTGCTGGGAGTAGGACTGGATGGGGATGAGGGAGGAGGTGGAGGGTTGGGAGAAAGGCTTGGGAGGTTGTTTTTGAGGGGGTCTGGGTGGGGTTGAGGGGAAGATGAGGGGAGGTTTATGGAGATGTGGGGTTTTGAACAGTGAGGGTTTTGGTTAATAATTAGCAAAATTTTATCTTTACTATCACCCCAAAAGGCTAAAATCTTGAGAAAAAAAGCACCCCAGTACCTCTAAATCCCCAAATCCTCAAAATTCCCTCACAACCCTTATAAACCCCTCCCCTCAACACCCTCTAACCCACCTCTCCTTTCCCTCCAAACACCCCTATCTCCTCCCCAGTCCATTCCTTCCCTTTTCCTCTCCCTCCCTTCCTCGACCAAAACGCCCCTCAGCCCTCTTCTTGGGCTAATTCAGGAACTTTCAATATCACCTAGGAATTTAGGGGTTTTGGGGTTTTGGGGTTTTGGGGTTTTGGGG